TTCGACATTTTTACTTACCAATTCCAAATCCAATAAAGAATCGACACACCGCAAACATCTGCCAGGAAACAGAGAATGCGGTTATAAAGTTCAGAACCGCATGCTCAAGGACAAATGCGTACAGGGTCTTTTTGCGTCCTATGGAGTCTCCCAGTTGTCCGGCCAACAGGGCGCCCAGCAAGAGTCCGGCCATTTGGATGCTGACTACTGCAGGCTTGACCCAGCTGAGGTCGCAGATTAGAGTCCACTGTAGAATATATAAGCTCTCTCTTATCTATGTATTTGTGGTAGTAATTTAAACAATGATACCCTGTTCAACCCATTGGAGTTATAATTGACATTTGAAGAGGTCTTTTCTTTTCCCTATTATTTAGGACCGAAAAATATAATGTTATAGTTAGTCAACATTGCGTAGCTTATGTATCAATTCTATACGATTGTATGAGTATAGATTGTCAAGTTAAACACTCGAAGTGAACCTTCAAACAATTACGCAGTGGCGTTCGCGGCTAGACGCCCACTTGCTGATCGGAAGCTCATGGGTTCGCGTCCTGACTGAGCCGGACTATTTTTCAAACAAGACCTTGACTACATCACTCGCCAAGTGTGGATTGGTCTATAAAAATACAGGTCTAGCCCTTTATCAGTTATAGTACTTATATTGTTAAGTCCATCTTTAAGGATGTTTAAAGTCATCCGGGATACTATTATTTTGATAAGATAAATTAACACCTCATACTCTAATCCCTGTTCTTGTGATGTACTGTTTTATCCTTCCCTGTAATTCTCTGGAGCCTTCTACTCCCACATGTTTTCTATCGCCACAGGCTTATCGCAATAGATCATGTATTCATTAAGGGGAGACCTTTGGGCTTCATATTTCTTGCAGTTCAGTAAATAATGGCCAATAAATGATGTAGCTGACATTCAGAACTGGTGTCTTCTGCTACTGTGACATAAGCCACACCAGGCGGTCTTAGTAATGTCTTATTGCAAGGATGTTTAGTTCACTTGTTATTCGATATTTTCTGGTTAAAGCTTTAACAAGTTTGTATACCTGTCTTCTCTTTATGTTTCCACTGCATATCCGTAACCATTCTTCTTTTGTTATGCATGTTAATGGTTGTGTCCTGGCTGTGTCTATAATATTAGTCATCGCTCTCGACGTCGAAAAAGAAAAATAATAAACTAAAAAGCACTCTTCTTAATGAATATGTGATCCAATACAATAAACCTGTGATAATAGAGAACATGTGCAGAGTTGATGGCTCCAGAGAATTACAGGCAAGGATTAAACAGTACATAACAAGAACAGGATTAGAATATAAGGTGTTAATTTAAGTAAAGGAATGCAATCTTACTGGCTCGGTACGCTTAGGAAAATGTGATTGGGCTTAAACATAATGGCCGGTGTCTCTGAGGCAGTCACTACTGATAAAGATCAGTCTCATGTTTGGGCCAGGGTATGCATGTGTAAGAGGGAATTAAAAACTGTATATGCTTGCCGACAGGACCACTGTAGAGTGTGAACGAGCAATCAACCAGGCTGATATAACCAGAGACTTCATTTCTGGTGGTACTCAGAACCCACTTTTTTTTTAGGCATCACTTTTTTTCGGCCACACTATCATTGACAATTTATACTGAGCATTCGCACCTCTTTAGGATATTTTGTGGCGAGTACTGGAACATTTTCAAAGTAAATTGTGCCTTTCAACATCTGCTAAAATCAAAGTCTCTATCTCGCAACACCAAGATCATCATCATCAGTTCTGGTTATGCCTAGTGGCACATGAGGCTTCAGAGAGGACTTTCCATGCTTTCCTGTCTTGTGCAATCTTCAGTGCAGTTTTCCATGTTAAAGATGCCGCACTCGGGTCACTTTCCATCGTTCGTCTCCATGTTGTCTCAGCAGTTATGAGCTGAATGATTTCGTCTGCAGTGTGGATTTTTTTGGGTCGATTATAAGGAAACGTCTTAAGACTTACCTCATTAATAATCGTCAAAGAAGAACTCACAAAGCGGTAACTATCACACTTGACACCGCTAGAAATGCCAAGGCTGTTTACCGAGCACGCTTGCAGGGATCCATTCTGTGGCTGTGTGAAGTTAGGTCCTAGGCAGTGCCAGTCAGGAACCGTACCCACATAGGTCATCTGTATAAAACGTAATGAGAAGTTTAGGGAATAAATTACAGTGTAAACAAACAAGTAGAAACTGTATACACGAGGGAAATAAATGGTCGTAGACCACGAGGCAGACCAAGAAGACAATGGAGAGATAATTTCCAATCAGACCTGCAAACACTTGGTGTCACCAACTGGAAAGAAAAGGCCCACCAGACAGATGAATTGAGGCAGGTGATATCTGCAGCAATGAACCTCAAGGGCTCGGAATGCCGAAGAAGAAGAAGAAGAAGAAATAGAAGAAGAAGAAGAAGAAGAAGAAGAAGAAGAAGAAGAAGAAGAAGAAGAAGAAGAAGAAGAAGAAGAAGAAGAAGAAGAAGAAGAAGAAGAAGAAGAAGAAGAAGAAGAAGAAGAAGAAGAAGAAGAAGAAGAAGAAGAAGAAGAAGAAGAAGAAAAGAAGAAGAAGAAGAAGAAGAAGAAGAAGAAGAAGATAAACAAACAACGAAATAATCGATACTAATGGAAAGCGATTGGTGAAGACCATCACCACAACACTCTGGGCAAATCAAAAGATGCTCCGATCTTCTCCTCACTTACACAATCAATTTTAAATGACTGATTATGTCCGTTCTGTGGTGATTGTTCAAACGTGCAGTGCCCTTATTGGGAGCCGTCGTGGTTTAACGGCTAGACGCTTACCTGCAGATCTAAAGGTGGTGGGTTCGGGTCTTGACATCGTTAAATGTTTTTTCAAATGACCTTGGTGGACCCAGCCTTAAATGGGTACCAGGCAGAGTCTCGGGAAGTGAAGGCGGTCGGAGTGATGTTGACCATATCAACATAGGAGTGCCAGGTAGTCTATAAAATATAGATCTTGCCCTATAAACCAAATAGGCCTGGAGGCCTTGTAAAGGACTCTTCACTCACTTGTACAGTGTCCTAAGCGAAAAGTTTGCGTTTACAAGCTCAGTGTTGCACCCTTCTATCTTTCTCTTTTCTTTCTTTGAGTGCTGATCAATACCTTATTCGTTTGTTTATTTTATATGTACACACACAATATATATATATATATATATATATATATATATATATATATATATATATATATATATATATATATATATATATATACATATACATATACATATACATATACATACATACATACATACATACATACATACATACATACATACAACATACATACATACATACATACATCCATCCATCCATCCATCCATCCATCCATCCATCCATCCATCCATCCATCCATCCATCCATCCATCCATCCATCCATCCATCCATCCATCCATCCATCCATCCATGCATGCATGCATGCATGCATGCATGCATGCATACATACATACATTCATTCATTCATTCATTCATTCATTCATTCATTCATTCATTCATTCATTCATTCAGACAGACAGACAGACAGACAGACAGACAGACAGACAGACAGACAGACAGACAGACAGACAGACAGACAGACAGACAGACAGACATATAGCCTCCTTAAAAAAACCGAATTTCCTTTGACCTGAGAGGCCTGTATAAGCCATATGCGGCCGTGTAGGCGACATAACATCATGACTGACACTGACGAAATCGCTCTTGTCCAATCAAGGACAAGTCGCGCCGGGTTGGCTCCCAGAATAAGACCTACCCCAAAGCCCCAACACAAATTTTCAGAATGCTTTTAATGTAAGCCCTAGTAAGGTCTGCACTCCGGCTGGCCATTCGGCATCAAATCTCTTATTCCAGGTCATGGTATCATCACTAGGGCTTATTTTTTTTTTAAACATAGAGTTAGAGCTTATAATAAAATATAGAAAAAGCACTCTGAAAAACGTCATAGGGCTTTTCTGGGGGTAGTTTTTTGTGTGCTTTTCTGTTTAGGGCGGGGGCGGGAAAGGGGGGGGGGTGAGGTGACACGGTGCTTTACTACATTTTTTCCTTTACTTGTTCCCGTCACACTGTAATTAATTATAGTCGTCATCAAGTGAACAATAAACTCCCCCCCCCCCCCCCACCCCCCAAAAACAAAAAACGAAAATATTTAAAAGATTATCCTTGAATTCACTATTTAGCTACTAGCTCACCTGCAATATGCTCCATCCGATCGTAAAGCGGGTTAAACCTACACCAAGGACGACAAAGAGTTGGAATCTGCCAAAGCCACCAGTTTCACTCAGAATGTCTTCAATCGTCATCGCTTAACCTGGAAAAGATAAGTTCGGTGTCATCGATTCATATCTCTATTGTTGTTTAATGTTTAATTTAGAATCCACATCACAGCCCTCTGGACATTCCCATAAGTGTTCTGTCTCCATCTTCAGCAGCAAGCGCAGAGTTCCAATTCTGATGGTACCAGCAACAGTATTATCGTATATCCCTTTGACTTTTCTCTAGAGTGTTGATCAACGGCCAGATCTCTTAGTCACTCCTCGCAGCACCATTCCCCTCAGACCGTGATGATCCGTCCGTGCCTCTGCACTGTTCACTCGTTCTATTGCTGTTAGTCTGGCAGATCTGCTAATGTGATTTTTATTACAACCCAAGCTAGGCTGACCCAAAAAACCCAAGCTATTCATAAGCAAAGAACAAAAACAAGAGTTAAAACCCAAGAATGATAAAAAGTACAAATTTTATGGGTACGAAACGAAACATTTACCCACTTTTATAAAACGATATATTTTTTTTTTAAACCCCAGTTTCCAAAACCTGAACCCAAGGCGTCAAATAAAAACCCAAATCTTGGGAGGAAACCCAAGTATTGGTAACCCTCGTCTGTGCCTCTGCATTGTCACTGGTTCTTTTGTTGTTAGTTTGGTGAGAGGGGACCCCAAAACAATTTTACCACGTTCAGCCTTGCAGAGAACAGCCTCGGTTTTAATGGCGGACTATTTCTTTGTGTGCCTAAGTTCAATGGCTGATATGTTGTGTTGTGCCAAAACGTTTTGGATTAGTGTCTCTAGCTGTGTGATGTTGTCGCTCTGAGCATGTCTGGGTTGTCCATTGTGGTCCTATTGTCCGGATGAGAGTTTCCTTTTTATTTTTTTTTCCCTTTCTTTTGAGTGTATTTACTTCTTATCTTCTTATTCTACGCGTTCAACATCTGTTAGCTCTGGCGGAAAGTTCTGAGTGTTCGTCCCCTTCTGTACTTTACTTTTGTTCCAGATCCCGATTGTTGCGTGCACATCCGTTTCACAGATCTTATTTAACTGCAGACTTTTGGTTCCTTGCCGCTCAGGCGAATATACTACGACTTACAAGGATGCCCCTAATAATTTGACTCCCATCCTCGACATGCTTGTTGGGTGGAGGTGGTGCTATTTTCCCACATAATGCGGCCCCGGAACCAACAAGGGAAGAATGATTCCTCTAATTCAGCGGTTCTCTACCTATAGGTCGGGATTATTTTTGTGTGTGTGTGGGGGTCGAACGACCCTTTTACATGGGTCGCCAAAGACCGTCGTAAAACAAATATTCATTGAAGGTATGAAGTTGCGACGAGAAAAATTGTATCGTTGGGAGGTCGCTACAACATGAGGAACTGTATTAAAGGGTCGCCACAACATGAGGAACTGTATTAAAGGGAGGCCACAACATGAGGTGCTGTATTAAAGGGAGGCCACAACATGAGGTGCTGTATTAAAGGGTCGCCACAACATGAGGTGCTGTATTAAAGGGTCGCCACAACATGAGGTGCTGTATTAAAGGGTCGCCACAACATGAGGTGCTGTATTAAAGGGTCGCCACCACTTGAGGAACTGTATTAAAGGGTCGCCACAACATGAGGTGCTGTATTAAAGGGTCGCCACAACATGAGGGAACTGTATTAAAGGGTCGCCACAACATGAGGGAACTGTATTAAAAGGTCGCCACAACATGAGGTGCTGTATTAAAGGGTCGCCACAACATGAGGTGCTGTATTAAAGGGTCGCCACAACATGAGAAACTGTATTAAAGGGTCGCCACCACTTGGGGGAACTGTATTAAAGGGTCGCCACGACATGAGAAACTGTATTAAAGGGTCGCCACCACTTGAGGGAACTGTATTAAAGGGTCGCCACAACATGAGAAACTGTATTAAAGGGTCGCCACCACTTGAGGGAACTGTATTAAAGGGTCGCCACAACATGAGGTGCTGTATTAAGGGGTCGCCACAACATGAGGTGCTGTATTAAAGGGTCGCCACAACATGAGAAACTGTATTAAAGGGACACCACAACATGAGGTGCTGTATTAAAGGGTCGCCACAACATGAGAAACTGTATTAAAGTGTCGCCACAACATGAGGAACTGTATTAAAGGGTCGCCACAACATGAGGGAACTGTATTAAAGGGTCGCCACAACATGAGGAATTGTATTAAAGGGTCGCCACCAATTGAGGGAACTGTATTAAAGGGTCGCCACAACATGAGGGAACTGTATTAAAGGGTCGCCACAACATGAGGAAACTGTATTAAAGAGTCGCCACAACATGAGGAACTGCAATGAAAGGTCGCAGCATTAGGAAGTTAAGAGTACCGCTGTTCTGATGGATCCAGTCGAGGCTTTTGAACTTTACCCATTCTATGACGCCCTCGTATAATGGGGCTATCAGGCGATGCTGCTGAATGGAATAACCGAGATTTCTACATGTTTGATTCTCATCCTTGAACTGCTAGTCTTCCAAACCTCATTTCTAGAGGAACTCTACCCCCCCCCCCCCCCGCCCTTTTTTACATTGGTTATCTGGCGAGGTCAGCTGTGTGCGAAATGTTCCTGTGCCTGTTGTGGATTGTTATGTTAGAAAGGGCATGGCTGTTTGTCCTTTACCTGATGTGAGGATTTATGGGGGAGATTTGAGGAGGTAAACAGAGAGGACATGGTTTGAAGGTGACCATATTATTACAGCTGTTATACACACACACACACACACCACGTACACGCGCGCGCGCACACATCCACACACACACACCTGTGTTGCAGGGGCTCAAACTCAAAGAAAACATGGCGGGAAGGTGGGGGTTGCCTCAATCCCACGGTGCATCTCCCGATTAAGGCTACACATTTGTTTGTTCTAGGCAAAATGGGAGGAGGAACTCGTTCAAGGATATAATCCTATTTTAAAAGTGCAATAATAATACCATTATTAATAATGTACTGGATGATACACAATTGCTAAATACATGTTATATATATTCATGAAAGAACAAGATATGTAAAAATAAACACCAATAAAGAGAATGTCTGCTATACATTGTTAAAGCAGTCTTGTTATTCCCCCTAGCAATCACGGCTGCCGAAGTTGGTACTTATGTACACATTTGGTATATTTCACAACGGGCAAAGGAACATTTCTCACACAGCTGACCTCGCCAGATAACCGGTGTAAAAAAATGTTTTTCTCCTCTAGAATTGAGGTCTGCAAGATTAGCAATTCAAGGATGAGAATCAAACATGTAAAAATCTCGGTTACCCCATTCGTTTGCTCTGTGGCTAAGTCAATGCGAACGCTTCGTAATCCCGGGGTGCCGGTTTCGATCCCAGTTGCGGGCCATGCACCTTGCGTTGGTTTCGACAGTGGTATCAGGGCCTGACCGTCCAGAAAGCAATGGCAAACTACAGGACGTAAATTTGCCAAGAGAAACCACACAACAGCCAGAGGCTGCTGGGGTTGGTTCTGCAACGTCCTGTAAAGGATACGCAACTAACCTTTTTTTACCCCATTCAGCCGCAAAGCCTGATAGACCGTTATACGGGGCATCATAGAATGGGTAGAGTTCAAAACCCTTGCCGAGTAAACTGTACGTATGATATCATCGGTCTTTTAAAATTTAGCGTTGTCTTGAAGGTTTGAATAATAATAATTTTTATAAGGGGGGGGGGGGATGGGTAGGCAGCAGGGTGTAAACTTAAATTGAGCGTGATGCAGTTGTTGATGCAAACGCCCATTTTATGTGATTTGTGTCTGATGCGCTTATTTTCGGCTTCAAAAGCCAGTAACGGAGTTTCTGCAACACTCAAGTCATCCCCGTGTGGGATGCAATTTTTTTCTTATTTTGAAGCCTCACCCAGGCTATTGTCAGGGGCCCTAATATAACATAACGGTTGAACGAGGTTTCTATGACCTCTTCACGGGTGATCCTCATCCTAATGGTGGCACTTTATGTCACCGGGTGTTTATCGCTCTGTGTGATATCCTGGTGGGGTAAAACTTATTTATATTACTAGGAGTTTTCAACCAGACAACCGGCAGATGGTTATTGCATGTCTTTTGTCACAGCTTTACATTCCAGTTTTTTTTAATGAGGAAGATTTTCTGACCTCTCACCTCTGACCTTAGACCTGCATCGTTCGGTTGTTCAAGCGTGCAGTGTTTACTGAGATCTCTGATGGGTCTTCCCTGAAACTACGGAGTTTGTGATTTTAATTTCGAAGGATTTTGTGATAATGAGTTAATAGGTTAATTATTGTTTCCGTCTTTTTTCTTTTAAAATTGCTGTTTGAATTTAAATGTTTAACACGAGTGAGCTTAAACATGTGAATGATAGCTCAGACAGTGATCACAATGATAAAGATAATAAGGGGGGGGGGGGCAGTTAATAACAACATCTGGGTGCTGCCACAACAGCTTCGTACGAATTGAGCGAGGAAAAAAATAACACAGCAATAATCCAGTGAACATAAAATTCCAACTCTGATTAAACATAAGCAATCACAAATATACTAATTCTAAGTAGAGATTCGTTCTCAGGCCTTTATGCACAACGGGCGTATAGGACGAGCTTCCATATTTTTACAGACCATTCGGCACTAGGTGACTAGATAAAAATCCACGCAGCCAGCAGTGGGTAATGTGGTCATTACGCTGGCCGTCTTTACTTCCCCAGGACATACATACATCCTGGTATTCATTTTAGGCTGGGTCGACCTGCGACGTCTTATACCAAGTTAAAAATCCACGCTGCCAGCAGTGGGTTTCGTTTGCGGTAAGTTGGAATTACGAGTCGGACTCGCAACGCCTAAGTCACACACACAGACACACACACGCGCGCAGGCGCGTGCAAAATCTAAAATCATTTTCAAGTCACATTGATCACATTTCTAGGTGCCTGGCTAGTATCGGATGAGCTAAGTTGAAATCTTCAAAGGAAACAGTAACAACTAGAATCTGTTAAAAGATGTAATTAAATAACGATCATAGTAAACGCACATACACGA